GAGCAGGGAGCCCGATGCGGGACTCGATCCCGGGACTCCAGGATCATGACCTGAGCCGAAGGCAGTCACTTAATCAACTGAGCCACCCAGGCGCCCTTACCTAGTTTTGTTGTAAAAAATGCTCCATGGGTTTTTGGTTTTGCTATCTAGTTGCTCTGCCTTCATGTAGAAATTGGGGAAGACCCATAGTATGCTGCCGGCACCGCCTCTGTCTCCCAGAATCTCCTAGTCCGTTAACTGTAGGTAGCATCTCTTTACTCCTCTCTGTGTAAGGTGAGAGTGTTTGTACCCTCTGCTTCCCCCTAGCTCCTGTGTCATTTCCTCTATTTTTCACATCCCTGCACGTGTTTGTCTTTCTTCAGGTGACCAGTATGCACTGAAGATGAGGTTCGTGGACCATGTGTTTGATGAGCAAGTGATAGATTCTCTGACAGTGAAGATCATCTTGCCCGAAGGGGCCAAGTGAGTGTGACTGTTCCTTTCCTCTGATTCCCATTTCTCTGGTAGTGGCCTTGTACCTCAAGGGGAAGCTATGTTTTGGGGGTGCTGACTAGGTACTCAGCACATAGCTTTGACTGAGAGGTCTGTAGGGACTTTCTGACTGGAGTTTAAACAGAAAAGTTAGACTCAAATGAGGGCACAAGGTTTATTTATGAAATACATTCCCCAGACAGAATGCCTCTGTATGACAGCTGCAGCATCCAAAGGGGATGGGATGATCTGCAACAGGACAGAATGCGGAGTCAAGACAGCCAGGGAGCCCTTTGCTGTGTTAATACAAAAAAGAAGAGCAATGGAACAGTGGCTCTATTTTATCCTGGGCTGGTTAGACCAGGTTCAGAAAGGGGGGTCCTGATGGTGTATTAGGGTTCCATGCTTACAACCAGTAGTGCTGTCTTTGGCCAGTTTAAGCAGAAAGGAGTGCATTGGAAGGGTAAGTCACTTGTAAATTGGCAGCATAAGTTGCAGAGCCAGAACATCTCTGGGAGTCAGTTTGGAGGAAACTGACAGTTGTTCACAGGGGACCTGCCCTCGGCAGGAGGGATAAACACCTATGTGTGTCTCCATGTCACTTCGCTCTAGGTTCATCTTAAAGGGGAGCTTCTGTTTGGCCTCTCTTGGGTCACGTGCCCACTCTGGTCACCAGAAAGATCGGCACCTTGATTGTTCCTCCTATGGGGGATGGGGAGTTTTAGCAAAACTAGAGCGTGAGAACCTGGAGGAGGGAGAGTGGATCCAGGCAGACAAAAACGGGACATGTCCCACTGTACCTTATGAAAGTTCTCTGTCATGTGAGGAGAAGGAACTTCTGGAGTAACTTCTCAGGGGCCTTTTCAAGTCCCCGAGAGGCTCTTGCTGGGTGGAGTGCACAGGGGGGCTGTGGGCTGTGCGACTCCGGGGGCTGGCCAGTACTGGTGAGCACTAGGAAGAACAAGGGAGCATTAGCAGGGAGACGGTCATTACCTCAGCGGGAGAGTGGTCAAGTAGTCGGGGTATTCTGGCAGCGGGTCAGCTGTCTTGGAAGGTCTGGTGCCACGAGGGGAGCAGAGTGGAGCGGGAACTTAGTGACCCTGATAGGCCCCCTGAGCCTTAGAATTCTCCGACCCTAAATAAACCTCGTTGGTCAGTGCAGTTTGTCTTAGGCTGTATTTCATTCCTACCTGTGTCCAGGAACATCCAAGTTGACAGTCCCTATGAAATCATTCGGGCCCCAGATGAGCTGCACTACACTTACCTAGACACATTTGGCCGCCCTGTGATTGTTGCCTATAAGAAAAATCTGGTGGAACAGCACATTCAGGACATCGTGGTGAGTGCTCCACTGGTCTGCCTTCTGTGTCTTCCTCCCCAGAGTATGGGGTCCTGGCGGCCATGGACTTGCCTGTCCTTATCTTTACGTCCTTGGGCTGCAGGGGTTTGAGCACAGTCACCTCTGGGGATGGGTGGGGCAGCCTGGATGATCGTGGGCCTGCTGAGGCCCCTCTGTTGCCCCCGGGTGTCTGAGTCCCCGTAGGCCTGTGGGAGCCCATCCTCCGTGTTTTCTCCCCTAGGTGCTCCTTGTTCTCTCCCCTAGGTGCTCCTTGTTCTCTCCCGTAGGTGCTCCATGTTCTCTCCCCTGGGTGCTCCTTGTTCTCTCCCCTGGGTGCTCCTTGTTCTCTCCCCTGGGTGCTCCTTGTTCTCTCCCCTGGGTGCTCCTTGTTCTCTCCCCTAGGTGCTCCTTGTTCTCTCCCCTAGGTGCTCCTTGTTCTCTCCCCTCTCCCCTAGGTGCACTACACGTTCAACAAGGTGCTTATGCTGCAGGAGCCACTGCTGGTGGTGGCTGCTTTCTACATCTTGTTCTTCACTGTCATCATCTACGTCAGGCTGGACTTTTCCATCACAAAGGTACCCCTTGGCTTTTTTCCTACATTTGTTAGTCGTTTCGTGTGTTTCGTTAGCTTTACTGAGCACAGGGGTCCTCTCAACAAGCCCGAGGCAGAACCCTGTTGCCCAGAAGCCTCTCCCCTGCCTGTGGCCTCTGCTCATCCTTACTGTAAAGAGAGAGACCCTCTTCTTGTTGCTGTGGTCACAGAGCGTGTGGTGTTACGTGAGGCAGGTTGCCGCTGGTGGGCGCGTGCTGTGGAAACAGGGCAGCCGCAGTGTGTTTCATGGCGGGGCTGTCCTGAGGAGGGTGACCGCAGACAAAGTAGGGAAGGGCATTCAGCTGGAAGGAACAGTTTGTGCAGCGGCAGGGAGGGCTTCGGCGGAACCCATAGGGAGCAGTAGCGTACATGTGGCAAAGACGTTGATCTGGCTGGTTCCGTAGACAGGCTGCCCAGTGAGGCAGCTGCTCGCAAGCCTTGTCATACAGAAGGTCTGAGTGTAAGTTTTATTATGAAATAGTTCCACTTTTTAAGCTATAAATGCTGCTTTCCTTTTTTAATTTATTTTTTAAATTTTATTTTAAGTAGGCTCCACACCCAATGTGGGGCGTGAACTCAAAACTCTGAGATCAGGAGTCACATGCTCCACTGACTGAGCCAGCCAGGGGCCCCTGCTTTTGTTTTTTTAAAACTTTTCTTTAAAATAATTCCACATTTATGGAAACTTTGCAAGAATAGTAAAAATAACGATTGTATGCTCTTTACCTAGACATAGCACTTGACATTTGGCTTCTCTCTTGATACATAATTATTTTTCCTGGGCCATTTGAGAGTAAGTTGTAGACATTTATATCCTTTACCCCCTTGAGTATTAAAGCATGCATGTAGCCTAGGGACAAGAGTATTCTCTTAACATAACCACAGTAGAAGGATCAAATTCAGGAAATGTCATGTCGCTGTAATGCTGTTACATGCAAGCTATGTTCAGATCCGGCAGACTGTCCCGGTGACTGTAACATTTTTAGCAATTGTTTTTCTTCCTCCAGAATCCAGCTGAGGATCATGTATCCCATTTAGTTGTAACACTTCCTTTGTCTCCTTTTATCTGGAACAGCTCCTCAGCCTTTCTTTGTCTTTAATGACCTTGACATATCTGACGTGTAGAGACCGGTTTTGTAGAATATCCCTTAACTTAGATGTATCATGTGTTTCTCTCTGATTAAATTGAGATTCTGCATTTTTGGCAAGAATGCTATAAAGTGGGGCCGTATTTGTAGTGCATCCCCTCAGGGGTACGTGATGTCAGCTGGTCCCAGGACTGGGAATGTTATTAACTGTCCCTACTTGGCTAAGTTGATGTCTGCCTAATTTCTTCATGTTAAAGTTATTGTTTTTCTCTTTGCAATTAATGTATGATTTGTTTGAGGCTATATAAATACTCTCATATACGTTCACCAGTTAGTCCTAGCATTTAGTATTGATTCTTGTCTGAATCTGCTGTTAGTGTGGTGGTTGGAAAACTGTGATTCCTTTTGTTGGCATTGTGCTGGAAGGAGAAGCTTCTCTTCCTGGTTGACTGGTTGGCTGGTTGTTACTTGTTGGGACTCCTGGCTTCCTTCCTTACTCTGGGCTACTGTTCACTGGTATTACTTATTTTGATGCTCATATTTTCCCACATTGGTCCATTTTGGTCATGTCTCATCATTTTTTCAAGCACTTCCTTATTGTCAGGCCTAGCAGCATGTTTCAGGCATATTCAGTACTTTCTCCAGGCAGCCCTGGTTCCTTTCAGTGTGGAAATGGTACCTAGAGAGCATGATCTGGGAACTAGGTGCGATCGTTGCTCTTTGGGTGTCGCTCTGTCTGGGCCTTTCAGCAGACAGAGCTGGGGAGAGATGTATGGTATTTACAGTAGCATTTAACACGGATGTCTCCCTCCAGTCTGACGCCACAGGGTTCTTGCTGTCCTCTCTCATCCACCGGTTTTCCTTCTCTCCTGCACCCCAGCGTCAGTATGTTTATTCATTTGTTGAATTCTGTAAACACACAAAATAGTTTCAGAATTGTTGCACTCATGCCCCAGAAACACCAGACGTATCAGGTAGAGTCCCAAGATTTGTTAGGAGTTCTTTTTGTCTCTAGACTGAGAATATCTTGTCAGAGTACTGCGTTCCAAGGTAATTGGCTGAGTTTCCGGTGTTAACTCATTTGAAATATAGTTAGGGTCATTTATTTGTTTGAATTTTATTGTAGTTTCCCCTGTGGCACTGTATTTAATTTTGATTATGAATTTATAAAACCCTGCCTTGTAGATAACTAATTTTATCAGTCTCTGGATATCCTTCCTGATTTATTTTGCAGAAAGAAGCAGATACTTTAATTCCTATTTCCTCGGGCGCCTGGGTGGCTCAGTTGGTTGGGCGACTGCCTTCGGCTCAGGTCATGATCCTGGAGTCCGGGGATCGAGTCCCGCGTCGGGCTCCCTGCTCAGCGGGGAGTCTGCTTCTCCCTCTCCCGCTCCCCCCTCTCATGCTCACTCTCTCTCTCTCTCTCAAAAAAAAAAAAAAAAAATTCCTATTTCCTCTTCTTTCTTGCACAAAAGGTAGCACAAGTATATATGTTTTGTCCTTTTTTTAAACTAAACAGGTTGTGAGAGTTACCCAAAACGGTTCATAGAGCTTTTCCTCATTATTATTTATTTATTTTTTGTATAGCTGCGGAGTACTTCACTGAATGAACGGGTCAGTTTACTCAGTTTCTTGTATATACATTTCCTGATCTTAAAGCTTTGATAATTTATTGAGGAAAAAAACCAGTTGTGGGCCAAATCAACCATTTGCAGACCAGATTTGGCCTTTTGAGCTGCCAAGCTAGAACTTGTCTGAAGTAGACATGTGATGAAAGAGAATTTGGGGGTAGGGCCTCATCTAAAGGGTCATGAATGGCAGGGCAAGGAGCTTGGGCTTTATCCTTTAGGCCCTGGGAAACTCTTGAAGGTTTTAAGGAGAGAGACATAATAAATGTCCTGGAAGCCTTCCCTGACCTGCACGGAGGTTTCTCTTCCTTTAGCACCTCACCTATCCCTTTCATGGTGTATTCTAAAGATTTTATTTATTTATTTGAGAGAGAGAAAGAGAGAGAGCACATGAGAGGGGGGAGGGTCAGAGGGAGAAGCAGACTCCCTGCCGAGCAGGGAGCCCGATGCGGGACTCGATCCTGGGACTCCAGGATCATGACCCGAGCCGAAGGCAGTCGCTTAACCAACTGAGCCACCCAGGCGCCCCCTTTCATGGTGTATTCTAGCATTAATATCCTTTCTCCCATCCTCTCCCTGCCCTGCCAGGCTTTGAAGTGAATGTCTTCTTCATCTTCATGTCCCTAGTCCTGCCCTTTGCTGAACTGGTCCAGATTTAGTGTCAGCAAAGGTTTGATTCTCTGACTTTCCAGGAAGATGGCTTTTCTTGTTTGCACAGCCGGTGGTGGGTACTCTTTGGGAGGTGAAGGTTGGAGCAGGCTCAGGCCTGGATGTTGTCACTCATGATGTCCCCCCCCACAGGATCCGGCTGCAGAGGCCAGGATGAAGGTGGCTTGCATCACGGAGCAAGTCTTGACCCTGGTCAACAAGAGAATAGGTCTCTACCGTCACTTTGACGAGACTGTCAATAGGTACAAGCAGTCGCGGGATGTGTCCACTCTCAACAGCGGCAAGAAGAGCCTGGAGACGGAGCACAAGGCCTTGACCAGTGAGATTGCATTGCTACAGTCCAGGCTGAAGACAGAGGGCTCTGACCTGTGTGACAAAGTAAGTGTCAGCTGTCCCGGAGTCCCTCGGCTCTTTGCCCTCCCTTGTTAGGCCTTCAGGGATTGTCCCCCACCTAGAGCACCACGGGGCTGCTCTGGGTGGGGCACATGCCGGGCAGCTGTTGCTCACTGTTGACTTGTCCTGTGGAGCCAGCCCCTACAGTGGAATGAGAAGTTTGGGGGTCTTGGTTATGGGCTGGGTTCGGAAAGCTCTGCTATTCTCCATGTCACTGTCCACATGGGCACTGTTGAGAACGACAGCTGCCTGTCCCGGAGGCCAGCCTGGACAAGGCTCCAGGCTGCTTGTGTGTGCTGAGAAGAACCTAGACTTAGAATCCGGCATTTGATTCAGACTTTGTCAGCCTGGGCAAGTTACCTAACTTCTGTGCCTCCGTTTCTTCTTGTCTCAGTACTTACCTCACTGTGTTGTGAGTGTGAAATGAGTTAGTGCATATAAAGTGCTGAGAACCCTGCCTGGGACCTGCTTTGTGAGTGAGTCCTTGTTACCTATAAAGGAAGAGGAGACCCCTTTTCTCCCCAGAGGTACCCCTCAGAGGCCCTGATGATCCCCCTCTCCACACGCCACTCGTAGCACTCCCTCTCCTTACCCTGTGTTCTTCATAGCACCTACCTCTTTCTGCAGCTCTTCTCCTTATGTGCTCGAGTATTACCTGGTAGCTTTTTGAAGGCCAGATGCCTCATCTGTCTTGACTGCGGTTTTCCAGAGCCTGGACTTGTGCTTAGCACTGTGGCTCACTCAGTAATTGTTGAATGTTGAATGATTATGATTGTGAAGTCTTGTGAAGTCCTCAGCCTCACACCCAGCTGGTGATAACAGGGGAGTCATTCAGTCTCTCTGCCACACCCCCGCCATTAGTCTTGCCCAACTGAGTCCCTGGACCTAATTTGGCCAGCCAAAGGGAAGAAGATAAACGTACCTTGAGGATCTGCTGTGTGCCTGGCACTGTGCTGGGGGATTGCCCCTCTGTTCCCACTCGATCCTCACAATCCTCCCGTACAGCTGAGGCCTGAGGTCAGAGCTTAAAGGTACAGAAAATGGAGCTGGCATTGGAAGCCAGGCCCGTCTCCCTCCACAGCCAGCCCCTCTGCCCATGGGAGGTGGTGGGCCCTGCTGAGTGTGGGTGGGAGGACCACTCTCAAGCTCTGCCCTGCTCTTGCTTCGGCCAGGTGAGCGAGATGCAGAAGCTGGATGCGCAGGTCAAGGAGCTGGTGCTGAAGTCCGCGGTGGAAGCCGAGCGGCTGGTGGCCGGCAAGCTCAAGAAAGATACGTACATTGAGAATGAGAAGCTCATCTCTGGAAAGCGGCAGGAGTTGGTCACCAAGATCGACCACATCCTAGATGCTCTGTAGCCCCTGACAATTACCATCGGGGTGGGCCTAGGGTGCTGCACTTTCAGATGGCAGGTTGGAGGTGAAGGGGGGAAGGCAACCATCAAGGCTGCTGAATGCTGGCATCTGTATTTTTACAAAAGGCCTTCAAGGAAGTGAAGCCAGACCCTGCCATAGGCAACACAAGAAGCTTAGTTTTTATCTTTGAAGGGTTCTTTAAAAAAAAAAAAAATTAAATCCCATTAAAAACAAAATATCTTTGCGTTTTGAACAAAGAAATTTTCAGTAGCTGATTGGTTTTGTTTTGTTCTGAAGCCTAGGATATCCTTTAAGCCCAAAAGCCCCTTGTTTTTTGTCTTTCTAATTCCCTATGTTTGGGTATTTTGTGAGTGTATGTTTGTTTTTTTTAAACGTGTGTGGCCAAATGAAAATAAAGCAGGGACTGTGAACATTTGTTCTGGTGACAATCACATGTCATAACATACTAACTTTGATGGTACTTTTATCAAGTGCTTTTTATTCATTAAATAGTGGATTTCCTTCTTAGAGCAAGTTTGTATGGCAGGCATTGCCTCTGTTTTACATGTTAGAACACTGAGCCCACAGAGGTAGAAGTGGGCTACGTAAGGTCGCCGAACAGAGTAGTGGAGCAAGGGCTCTGTTCTCACACTTTATCTGTTCTGCATCACATGCTGTACTAGGCTTTAAGGACACAATGATGGATGAAAAAGAGAACAGTGGTTCTTATGGAGGACAGATAGATGATCAGACACAAATTCATAATCACAAATTGTGACAACCCCACGGAGAAAAGGGACAGAGTTCTCCCGACAGTATTTATTGGAGAGTAGCGAGTATGATCTAGGTGGAGAGGGGAATCGGGCAGTTTCCCTAAGGAAGTGACTTTGGAGTTGGGCTCTGTAGGAGTTACATAGATGACGGGCATAGCATGTGCAAAGGTCCTGGGACAGGCTGGGGCTTGAGGACCGGGAGGGAATCCAGAGAGTGAGGTGGAGAGTGTACAGCATAGGCTGCAGAGGTGGGAGAGTCCCAGCGAGATCAGGCTTTGTAGGTCTGACAAGGCTTTTGGCTTCATCCTAAAATCAAGGGGAGACCGACCACTGTGTGAGACATGCTTAGATTTGTATTTTGGCTGAGAGCAAACTGAACTGCTGAAGGCCATAAATAGGGGTGGGAGAAAACCTTGGGCAAGAATGGCCATGTGCCCAGATGGACACAGCTGAGAGATTTAGGTGGAATGGACAGTGTGAAATGAGTGCCATACTTTCTCCCCCTCCTCTCTGCCTGAGGTCTGTGCCTTGTCTTCACTTAGGTAATTCCACCCTTGAGGTAACAGCTTAAGTTATTGGCTCAGGGAGGCCTTCTGTGATCTCCCAGACCCAGTCTGGCCCTCTTGTTGCAGTCTGTCTCTACATTATAACCGCAGCTGGGATGTGTGTAATCACTGGAACTAGCTCCGATGGGGCAGGGGTTTCGTCCGATGAGGTCCCCTCATGGTATCAGCTAGATGCTGGGGTTGGCGTGTGACAGTGTGTGACATATTGGCAGGGTGGGTGGAGGGATGGTTTACCATTCATTTAATACGGAGAGGTCTGTAAAGACCAGTTTTGAGGATGATGATGATGGGTTCTGTTTCAGACACGGTGAGGTGCCTGGGAATGTCGGGGCAACTGGATATTCAGGCTTGGGGTTCAAGGAAGGGGCCTGGTGTGGAAATGATGAAGGTGGGTGGTGGTCAACACGCTGTGGAATGGCTGTGGAAATGGTGAGGTCGAGGCTGTGGTGGGTGAGGGTGCCTAGGAAGGGTATCGAGAAGAAGAGATGCAGAACTGAATGTATGGCTGCAAAGTGCAGTGGCTGCTTGGAGCACCCCGCTCCCTGCACACGGCTTGTGGAGTGGCCCGTGAAGTAAGGGAGTGGGAGTGCGTGGGGTCACGGGGCCCCAGGGAAGGGGGTTTTAGGAGCAGCAGGCGGGGAGAGGTCAGCCTATGCTGGGAGCAGGTCACTGCAGTGGTCCTTCAGGGACTTGAGCACAGTGGGCCAGGGGGTGGGGGCGGGGGCCGGGCCAGGCTTGCTTCCAATGCGGATGGTGTGTGGCAGAGACAGGCCGTGAGAG